CTCCCCTACCTTGCCCCTCCCCTTTCTTCTTTTAAGATTCCACGTTTAAGTGATGCCACGTAGTATTTGCCTTTCTCTGTCTGGCTTATTTCAGTGAGCATAATGCCCAAAAGGCCCATCTGTGTTGTTGCAAATGGCAGGATTTCCTTCTTCTCCCAGCTGGGTAATATTCCATTGTGTTTATGTACTACACCTTTATCCATTCATCTATTGAGAGACATTTAGGTTGCTTCCATATCTTGGCTATTGTGAATAATGCTGCAGTGAGCATGGGAGTGCAGAAAGCTCTTCAGTATTCTGGTGGTTTTTCACCCCCTTTGGTTAATTTTTGGAGGCACCTCTACACCTTACATTCCCTTTTCTCTACATCTTCGCCAGTGCTTGCTATTTCTTATCTTTTTGATAATAGCCCTTCTAACAGAAGTGAAGTGACAGCTCATTGTGGTTTGGATTTACATTTCCTTGATGATTAGTGATGGTGGAGCACCTTTTCATGTACCTGCTGGGCATCTGTATGACTACTTTAGAAAACTTTCTATTCAGTTCTTCTCCATTTTTAAATCAGGATTCCTTGCTTTTTTTTTTTGCTATTGAATTGTATGAGTTTATGTATTTGGGATATTAACCCCTTATCAGATTTATGATTTGCAAATATCTCTTTCCATTCCATAGGTTCTCTTTTTATTTTGTTAATGGTTTCATTTGCTATGTGGAAGTGGTTTTTTGTATGTTTGTTTAATCCTCACATGTTGATATGTTTTTATTGCTTTTAGAGAGAGAGGAAAGGCGGAGGAGAGAGAGAAAGTGAGAGAGAAAGAAACAGATGTGAGAGAAACATCTATTGGCTGCCTCCCGTACACTGTCCGCAACCTTTTTGGTTCATGGGACGGTGCTTCAACCAACTGAGCCACCTAGCCACGCAGAAGTTTTTTAGTTTGACGTAGTCTCATTGTTTATTTTTACTTTTGTTGCCTTTGTTTTTAGTGTTAAATCCAAAGTTTATTTGCTATTTTAAGTTAGTAAAAGGATAGAAGGGTGATTTCCTCCTTTTTTCCCATATGTATGTTAAATGAACTGACTCCCTTTTCATATATTATTAGCTTTTCTTTCTGATGTCTACAATAAAAATAGAAGGGATAATTGGAGAGAGAGAAAAGAACTGGAGGAGAAGGTACATGTCCCTGACTCATACTCAGCTTTCTGAGTTGAAATGTGCCCTTCTATATCTTTGCGGTTGCCTGATAATCTCAGCAGACCATTATTGCTTTTTAATTAACACTAATGTTAGGCTAACCAGAATAACATGGCCTTTAAAAAATTACAGGTCATGCACGTTTTAGCTGAAGAGAAGAAAAGAAGGCTGGTACTATGCTCTTAGAAACAAACGGTGAGGGCAAGTGTGCTTTGCAGGCTAAAAATTCAAACCTTGTCCATTGTTCTTTTGACCTAATTCAAGTCTCTGTGAGTGGTTTTAACAGGTATCATTGTGTAAAATGGTTGTCACTGTAGTGTGGTCTTCTCTGCCACCTCCGAGGATGCATCTGCATGTGTTTCTTCTCTTAGAGCCAGGCTTTCAGGGATGAATAAATTATGTGAACATCTGCCATTTATTTTTTACAGCTACTTCAGACATATTTAAACAGGTGCTGGGGTACCTCATGAAAGAGCATAGGAAATGAAACATAACAGTAGGACTATATGAGGTTGCTAGGATAGGTATGAGACGCGTCCTTAAGGAGCAGTCGTTGAGAATTCATTCTCGGCTTTGTTCTTTAGCTCATTAAGAGTATGTGGTTTTGTAAACTTCAGTCTCATCTAGAAAAACTTAAAAACCATCAGTACTTTTGTGGCTCAATTTATACCTACGCTTAATTGTGTAAATGACATTCTTTGAATTAATGCCATTCATGTTTCACTAAGAAAGCCCCAGGTGTTGTTTACCAGTGCTTTAAACCAGAGGTTCTCAACTCTGGCTGCATATTAAAGTTGCTTGGACAGCTTTTAAAAAATTGAATTAAAACATGTGGGAGGTGGGGCTTTATGGATTTTTAATTTTTTTTTTTTTTGTAATTGGTTAAAGCTGATTTTCATGTGTGGCATAATTGGGAATAGGTATATTTAGTCACTGCTTCTCAAATGATCTCTGGTGAAGGACTAGATTTATTTTTTATTCTTTTGGTTTATTTCTAATCTGTTGTGAACTGATGATTTAAGAAAATACAGTCAAAGTGAATTATTAGAAAAGTATAATTCAAGTTCCAAATTGATATTATTAGGTTCAGCAGGCATAAAAATGACTCCATCAAATTGCTATAAATGCTTCTAAATGAACCAGTAACAATCAGCTTGCAGATGAGCCCTGGTCCATGAAACACTTGGGGTAGCAGTGTTTTAAACCATTGCTTTGTCGTGATAAGTTGTTAGTGACCAATATCAAAATGGCATGCAAGTTAACTTAACCTTAAGACTTTCTCTTTGTAACTCCAGAACTGTAGGAAATTATACACTTACATTCCTAGTTACTGAAGGAAATGACTTTTACTCACCATTGACCCAGAGTCTCCTTTGTTTTAAGCACTCTGCAAAGTTTAGAAATAATAAAAAGGAAACAATGATCCTTCTGTAACTTTAGGGAATCAGAGATTATGAGATAGAAAGGTGTTTCTAACTCTTTGTACGCTTTATAAGTACCTATACAGATATCCTTAATTTTACATTCGGATCATAGCTTGAATTTAAATACTGTTTTATAATTTTCAAACTATTTTACTTTATAATTGCTGTGTATTTTCATTTAAATTATATAATTGGTCTTCATAACAACCTTGTGTGGTGAGTAGGACAGTGATTATCACACGTACTTGACAGATTGGAAAAGTGAGACATTTAGCTTACATGGTGGACCTAGTCTCTAATTTAGTTGAAAATAAAAATTGAAACAAGCTTCCTGACTTCATTCTGGTTCTGTCACTGTACTGGGAAGGTATTTACAGAAATGTAGCAACTTTTAACATTGTGCAGTAGTGGTCAAGTGGAATGATGGCTTAAATTCTGCTGTGTTTTAGACAACTTCTGTCATTGTTTAGAAGAAATTTAAGGTGTAGGCAGACATATGATGCAGACTCTGAACATTTTTGGGGGGGTTGGGAAAAAACTAAAGCAATTTCCTATAGGAGATAAGTGAAAAAATTAAGGATCAATTAAAAAATTTAAACTTTTTTTTTTTTAAAACTGCAGAATTTCTTTAATATGGTTGTCGAAGTACCTCGGTGGACAAATGCTAAAATGGAGGTATGGATATATTCTATTAATATTAAATGGAAATGATAATCATGATATAAAAACTTTGTTTCAAGTTGTTTGCCATAAGATTTTGAATTTTGGATGGTTGACAAACTTGTTTATAATGAAAATAATTGAAAACATTCTCTTGTGAACTTTTTAATTTTATTTCAAAAAGCAAAATACTATTCAAAGTTGAACTTAAACTTTAAGGAGAATGTTTACCATTTTTGTCTCTCTAGTTTGTTATATACCTATTTAATTTTCCTTGACTCTTCTGTCTTTGAAAATGACAAATATTTTCAAGGTTTACTTAAATAGACTCTGAGATGTATTTTGTTCATAGAGCCACTGAAACTTATTTATTTAGGGCTTATAGCAATTTCAGTTTCTAAAGACTTAATTCTTTTTTAGACTTTGTTCTACCAGGAATGAAAGCATTTTCCTGGCCAACCCTTGATTTATGATCGCTGTCAAAGAGCATGTGCTCTTCCCCTCAGTTGCTTTTTATTTTTTTAATTTTAAAAAAAAGTTATCTTTATTGTTAAAAGTATTGCAAATGTCCCATTTTTTATCCCATTGATCCCCTCCCCTATGTACCCCCTCTCCCCAGGCCTTCACTCCACTATTGTCTGTGTCCATGGGTTATGCATATATGCATATAAATTCTTATGTTAATCTTCACCCACCCGCTCAGCCTTCCCTTTGAGATTCATCAGTCTGTTCCATGCTTCTATGTCTCTGGATCTATTTTGTTCATCATTTTATTTTGTTCGTTAGATTCCACATATGAGTAAGATCATGTGACACTTCTCTTTCTCTCACTGGCTTAATTCGCTTTGCATAATACTCTCCAGGTCTCACTATGCTGTCTCAAAGGGTTAGGGATTCTTCATTTTTACAACTGCATAGTATTCCATCCTGTAAATGTCTGAGAAGGTGCTTGATATGATTGCAATCTTCTTGAACTTGTAGAGACTTGTTTTGTGTCCTAACATGTAGTCTATCTTTGGGAATGTCCCATGTGCACTTGAGGAGAATGCCTATTCTGCAGCTTTGGAATGGAATGTTCTGTAAATGTCAATTAAATCCATCTAATCTAACGTGTCATTTAGAATCACTGTTTTCTCATTGATTTTTTGTCTGGAAGACCTATCCAGTAGAAGTCAGTTGGGTGTTAAAGTCCCCAACTATGGCTGTATTGCTGTTGATCTCTCCTTTAAAGTCCTCCAGAAGTTTGTTTTTTGTTTTTTTTCTAGCCTGAGCCTTTGTTCTGAGGTGGGTCTCTTGTAGACAGCATATATTTGGGTGTTGTTTTCTTATCCATTCAGCTACCTTATGTTTTGATTGGAGCATTTAATCCATTTATATTTAAGGTTATTATTGATAGGTACTTATCTATTCCTCC